TTTCGTCGCTCAGGTGGCGGAAGGCCAGCAGAAGTTACGCAAGGACGGCTCGGCCGCCGGAAGCCTGCGGAGGTAACAGATGCCCGTTCTAAGGCGTTTCTCAAATGGGGACGATCCGCAGGGGGGGATGGAAGGTTGCAGAAAAGGGCGCTGAAGGAGCCCCCTGGTGTTCCGACGGTGCACGCAAGATTACTTTTCTTCACCCCTCCCTTTTGCCCCCACAATGAAGCAACGCCCGACATCCCACCAGAGGTGGTTCATTTTGGGGGGGCTCGGGATTTCCAACGCCGGCCAAGTGGCACAGGCCGGTGCAGGTGCTGATGCGGCGTATACATTGGAGGGAGGCCGGCAGTGGCAGGGAAGAGGCGCCCGAGGCGAACGTGAGGCAGGGGGTGATTGTTCGACCGGTGGCAGGGGTAATTCCGTACGGTGGCACGACAGCTGCTGCTGCTGAGGAGTGCAGGCGTTCCCCCCTCGAGCAGGGAAGGTGAAGGAGAGCACTTGTTGTTCCGCTCGCGCGGTCGCCTGCAGGAGCCACGCGCACGCACGTGTGCTGTTCCCTCCTCCGCGCCACAAGACGCGGGGCGCGCAACCTCGAAGGCTATTCGCACGAGCGGCGACCGCGCTCAAGCCACCGCGACCAGTATGATTCACACGCGCACGCTTCCCGTGAACGCCGCAATGAGGAGGCAATCGTGGGGCAAAGTGTAACGGGTCACGCTGACAGCCAACCAGGCCCAACCGTTGCACAGCGTGCACCAGCTCATTAGTCCCGGCTTCGAGGCATCTTTGGGCAGGATAAGTGCCAGGATATTGGGCACAGGAAACCGAGGAAATCCCCCAACCGAGTGCGGGGAGTCAAATGGTCGTTACGCGATGTAGAAGAAGGATCGCGTCAGTATAGCAAGCGGGATGCGCAAGCCAAGCGGCACTCGAGTGTATAACGAGCCCGTTCCAGCCACAGCAGTGAAATCCCGGCTGGGGGGCAGCCTCAGGCGAGTAGACACGAGACCGAGTAAAGGGCACGCGCGCTTGGCGAACAAAGTGGTGTTTAGTGCTGCGCCCCCCCCTCCCCCCTCCAAGTTCTTGGCTGGCAATCAACTCCGCACGTCCCCTGGTCCACCCTGTCCGCGGCCGCGGAAGAATTGTCAGCCGAGTATTGTGGGCGTCGTCACGTCTCACGCGCGCGCACTTTCTGGGCGTTGCGACCACGCCTGCAGCAAACGCTTTTTTGCGTCGGCGGCTGGGCAGAGTCGCTCCGCCGGCGAGGAAGCGAGTCACTGGCTGGCAAGGAAGCGAAGCGGGCCACGCGCGCGCAGCAAACGCTGGCGAGGTCGGGCGCGCGGGAGCAGCGGAAGGACGGGTGCGCGGCTGCGCTCTGACACGCCGCTTGGCCCCAGGGGGGTCACCCAGAGCGGACACATACGCAGACACGCCAGGTTCTTTTCCAGTGGCAGGTGATCGTTTCCTCATTCATCGTTTCGCCGATCGGCGCGGGCCCTCGTACCCCCTCCCCCCCCATGGAGTGGATCTTGTTTGTTTTTGGCGCCTGTCTCAAGCAGGTGGAGTCTCCCCCATAGGACGCACTGTTGCAAACAGTCACATTCAGCAGATGTCTGGAGTCAGACCCCCCCCTCCCCCCCTTCCCCACTTCCGCTCAATGTCGAAACGCCGAAGAAGAAGAAGAAGAAGAAAACGTTCACCAGCTTTGAATTGCTCCCGCCTTTCGGCAGCAGCTCATGCGAGCCTTGTATACCTTCAGAGCTCTGTCTTTCGAGTGTACTGGCGTCGATCAGCGCCTGATACTCGATGCGAGCGCCGATTCAGCATCGATGAGCGTCGATTAGTTTCGATTAGCGTCGATTTAGCGTCGACTTGCGTCAACTAGCGTCGACTAGTGTCGAACCGAGTCGATTCGCAAGAGCCGCCAAGATGGTACTTGAGGCTCCCATGATTTGCCTTCTCCTCTGTTCCTCCTCGTCCTGTTCCTGCTGAGGCTGTTGAGATCTTTCAGAGTTTCCCGTCGCGCGCGCGCTCTGCACGCGCACATGGGCGCAGCACGCGTGCCAGGGCGCGTCGGTACTGCACTGCGTGTTGCTGACTTCGAGGCCCGTTCGCCGACCGCTGCCAGGACATTACAGCCATGACGCTGAAAGAAAGGCACCTCGAGCCCAGCCGGGGAGCCGCCCATACCATCGCTCTGCTTTTGTCGCCGGACTTGGTCGGAATGGCACGAACTCAAGCGCAGATCTCGCTCAATATTCTGGTTTGCACCTGGACATGTTTCTTCGACTCCGGCTCTGAGGGGCCCGTTATCGGGCTCCCCGGCCGTCGAACTGAACCCAGCGCGAACAATTATGACAGGGGATCGCCTCCTCCCACCCCCCTTGTTGCTCCAAACCGATGTTGTCGGGTTTAGCGTGTCGCAGCAAAGGCAGACAAACACGAAGCACACACATACTCGCTTTGGACAAAACACACACACACACACTGTGTGTGGTGTGTGTATGTTCTTTGTTGCCCACCCCCGATACGGTCGGGAACTTTGGCTTAGCTTGTCGCGCCGCGGGCTCTGGCCCACCACGCTCCGGCGCGACACACCCGCGGAGCGGAGCGACCTTTTGAAGTCGGCGGGCGCGGAGGTGCGACAGCGGTGAGGCGCCGGTCGGGCTAAACGGCAGGGCTCGCCGAAAGCTGGCCGGGGCACGACGGAAGGGGAGGAACGGAGCAGGGGGGAGGACAGAGCCGCCGCGGCCGCAGAGCGGAGCGGCGCGCTGCAGTCAACCCGCATAACTAGTAAGGATGGGCCACCTTCCCCAGGGTACCCTTGCACGCTTCCCTTCTCGGTGCATCCTTGGCGGCTTTTTCGCTGGCCGCGCCCCGCTCGCAGAACGTCGGCATGGCCTGCCCAGGCCCCTGCATCCTTACACCGCGCATCCTGATGATGCGGGTTGGCCGTGTCCGCTTGCAGGGCATCGCGTGTCGCTGGGGCCCCCGCCGCGACGCGCCATGCGGCAGTTTTCCGGCCGTGGCACCTCCTCCAATGGCTGCCGTCCTCGCGCCCGTCGACGCGCCTCGGCGTCTCGGGGCGCGCGCTCCGGCCCTCAGGGGCAGCGTCAGGGGGGGTGGGGAGGCTCGCCCAGCAGGGGGGTGGGCATCGACCCCGAACCGCGCATTCCTCGCCGATCAGTTGAGGGTCCAGGGAGCGCTAAAGCGGACACGCAGGCGCGAGGATCAGCGACGGGCCCCGTTTCCGCACAGAGCCGTCGCGCGCAGTCGCCGAATTGAGGCGGCACTGGCCTTCCCCGGTCCGTAGATCTGTAGATGTCTGGCGCGTGGGCGCCAGATCTACGGATCAGCAGTCCATGTCCGTGTGCGCCCGAGATGGGGGGACCGCGCCCCCACCCCGCCCAGAGACGTGCGGTTTCGCTGTGATCGTGCTGCCCTGGCCCTGGCTCGGCTTACCTCGCTCGGAGGCGGGCGCTCTGCTCCGTGCCGTGTTCGGCCAGGCGTCTCGTCGTTGGTGCGTCGAGTCCCCGCAGCGCGGTCGTGCCCTGCAGGGCAGCGCGGGAGCCAGCGCCGGGGAAGCGGCAGAACAGAAACGTGCGGTTTCGTTGTTGTCTCCCCCCCCCCCTGGGCCAGTCTCCCCTCCCTTGTCAACCTCCCCTTGGGCTCTTTGGCTTCCCGACCTTCGCCGCGTGGCGGTGGGGCGGGGCGGGGGGGGAGGGCAGGTCGGGACCAACCCCTTCAACCTGGCGCGCGAGCAGCCGAACGAGCAGGCCGTGGACCTCGAGGCCGTGGCCGGTGGCATGCTCTCTTTCTCTCTTTTTGAGGGTGAAGGGGTAGCCAGGAGGAGGAGGAGGATGTGAAGAAGGAGGAGGAGGAGGAGAAGGAGGAGGAGGATGTGAAGAAGGAGGAGGAGGAGGAGTAGAAGGAGGAGGAGGAGGTAGAGAAGCCCGCAACAGCCAAGGTGTGCCCCGGGAGGGGTCCAACGACAACTGTTGAGGGGATTTCGGCCACGCGGGAGTGCAGCCGTTGTCTCAACTCGACATCCTCCGAGACTAAGAAGAATACGGATAAGAAGACGCCGTGTGTTCATAAGGCACGTGAGCAATCTTTATATTCAGCCACATCTGCAGCCTCGAGGTGAGGCAAGGCGGGCCGAAACGACGAGCGAGAGGGGAAGGAGACAGGAGGCGTGGAGGGAGGGGACGAGAAGCAGAGGCAGACGGAGAAGAATGATGAGAAATGCAACAGACAGGGCAGGACGAGGAGGAGCGGAAGGGGGGCAGCATTTGACGGACAGGGGCCAAGAGAGGACAGTAGAGGAAGGAGGGCCGCTGCACCTTCCGGGGCCCCAAGGAGGCAGTTGCCTCCCGCCGTGCATGCTTCACATTCGTTTGCAGTCGCGCAGGACGTCTGAAGATGCTCATGGGTGTCTATGGGTGTCTACGTGAGGCGTTCCAAAAAGGGCTCTGTCTTCGCGGATCTAAGGAGTGACCACTTCTTCATCGGCAGAGTGCGACGGAAGGTCGGCGGAAGGCGGCGGACGTGAAACGGGGGCGGCTCCGCTGGCGGAGGCCGGCGGAAGCAAAAGTCGACCTCCACAACAGTTTTGGGTTCAGGGTTTCTGGAGCTCGCCATGTGAAGCCGCACATCGCGCAAGTGATGCTACATTGTGGTGCATCGAAGGCGGTTGGCGTTTGCCCTGGGGTGGATACGTTGTCACCCCTCTGCCATTTGGCATAGCAGCTATTGCATCAGGCACGCATCTCGCCGTACCCATTGACAGCGTTGTGTATGTAGTGGTCGCGTGATGCAGGCTAACACTCGAAATGATAATTCGACATGCGTGCCACTATTAGTTCGATGCACCCGACGTGGCACACACCAAGGCAAAGCTACGCGTGTGCGCGCGTAGCCTGAATTTCAATCGGGCGTTCCCATTTGTCGGCTCGAACCCAGATGCAGGGAAGAGCAAGGGTTAGCCCAGGTGTAAGCTGGGCTCAGTTCGAGCATTGCATGTTGTTTTGTTGGTATGCTGCACGCAGGCGATCACGTTGTTTGCTCGGGCCACGTTTTCCCCTTGGCCAGGGGGTGCCATGCGTTTCGCGGCAAGCGTCTCCAGCTATGCAGCTCGCAGCTGCGCCGGCCCAGGGTCAAATCGGCCAGGGGATGGCCTAGCCTTGGCTCGCCAACCGTTGGCACTCCAGCGCTTCTTGCCCGCCGGAGGCGCGGTGGCGGCGGGGATCCCCGCGCAGGGCGTGACGAAATCGCGCGCCGAGGTTGTATCGGTAAAGGTCCCAATGAGCTTCTTAGAACCGGCGGCGAGCGGGGGGGGGGAAGTGAGAAGGAGAAGGCCTTCTCAGAAGGCAGCGGGGGGGTCTCAGAAGCCCCGCCGCCTTCTGAGAAGTTGTCTGCATCATCGGGGAAGGCTTAGAGTATTTTTCAGGAGGTCAGGGGGCTTCCGAACCTTTGAGAAGGCCCGCCAATTGTCACTTCCCCCCCCCCCGGGCTCGCCGTCGATAGAAGGTTAAGGAAATGGGGAGAGCGGCTCGGGTCACGAACAGCCAGCGCTAGCGAAAACAGGGCGCCGCGATTTTGGCGACTCGGAGCGCAGTTGGACGAGGGCGAGATCGGTGACAGGAGCCATGGCACAGGGACAGTGAGGAACGGCGTCGCGTAAGATGGAGAAAGAGAAGGATGCAGCGGCAGTCGTTCGGGAGCAACGATGGAGGGGGATAGGCATAGGGGGGATGCATCGACTCCCATTCGCCCATTGATCGCCGATAGGGGCCCGATAGCCGCAACCTGCCCAGGAGCGTGCGGATTCTTCCTTGGGGGCCTATCGCCGATCTGTCGGCGATGTATCGCCGATTCCAGGTCCATGTTCCCCCCCATGCTTTTTTCCGCCCCCCACCATCCCTACCGTTGCCCCTCAAGTCGTGGAGACGAGAGTAGTCGCGTGCCGGCGACGGCAGCTTCGGTGGGAGGGGAGCGCGGCAGGAGGCGCCCGCGGCCGGGAGCGAGAGCGAGCAGCAGCCATGGGCAAGCGTGCCAGCAGAGGGGAGGCGAATTTTTTTTGGCAGCGGGCAGGGCGGCTTCGGACGGGCAGTGGCGAGGTACCCTGCGCTCTCTCGACGCGTGCGCTCACACTCGAAGGACTAAAAACGGTAGACACATACAGTCAAAAACCCTAGCAAGGACGCGCGACTTTGCTCAGGGTACCCTTGCGTCCTTGCTCTTCCTTGCTCTTGCGTCCTTGAGGTTTTCGTCGTCCGCCGCCCCAAAAATCCCAACTTCGGCTTCCAAGGGTCTTGCGTCCTTACCCCGCGTCCTTATTAGGGTTTTTGACTAAGCTTTTGGCGGTCGGCGCGGATTTCTTGGACCTGCACTGGGAACCCCTGGCGGCGCCTCTGGCGCCGCCCCAGGCGCGCTCCGCGCGCCAAAGGGGGGGATCGAGCGCAGATCCAGGACATCCGCGCGGACCGTCGAAAGTTTATATTTATGCCGTTTTCCCCCCCCCCCCCTCTACACACGCGTGCGTGTGCGAACATGCACGTGCTGTCGCGGGTATGCGCACGTTCTTGTTCTCCAGTCGACGGCGTCTTTGCAGGCTTGGCAGCGATGTTCCGCGGTGGGGGACAGAGGATCCACCGTCAGAGTTTATCATGGCCGTCGCGCGGAAGCCGGACCGCGGGATCTCAATGATCTTTCAAAGAGTTGACATGGAGATCTGCCCGCCGCTGAGGGCGGTACGTTATCCATGCTCACCGTTCCCCAGGGATGAAATGCAGGATTCCAGCAGCTTTCGATGTGAATGTTTCCTGTCGTTGCAGAGACATTGGCGGCGCACGATGCAGGAGAAGTGAAGATCAGCCCGAGGAGCTCAAATTCCGAAGTAGCAGCGGCCGAGGAGGAGGAGGAGGAGGAGGAGGAGGAGGACGGCGAGAGCGGGCATGGTGATGGGAACATGAGGGTGAGGAGAAGGAGGATGAGAAGGGTCCGAGCGCATGAAAAGGGGGAGCTTGAGAAAGGGAGGGTACGATATCTGCTGGATGCAGCCGGGCCGCGCCCGAATGCAAAACAAAACCGTACCACCGTCCAGTCTCACCGCCAAGCGCGCGACATGGCTGCCTCAGGCGCGGGGAGGCGCTGGCAAGAGCAGCTGTGCGCTGCTGGTTCGTGAGCCCCCCTGTGCTGTTACCCCTCCCTGGTCCGTTCCCGAAAGGTCGAGGGATTCGGCAGCAAATCATGGGAGCCTGTTACACCCTCTTAGTTCCGTCTTTAGCGTCGTTCAGCGTTGTTTAGCGTCTGCGAGTCGATCATATAGCCCCGATTTAGCGTCTGTCAGCGTCGATTGGTGCCGATTTAGCGTCGATTAGCGTCGATTTAGTGTCGATCCGCATCGGTTCATGGGAGGCTCCAGTGAGTTGTCACCGAAGGGGAGGGAGACGGGTACAGTCAAGACGCTGAACGGAGGACCTCTCTTGCTCAGGAGCGGCTCTGACTTTCGGGCCGCTGCTCAGATCTGCGTCGGGGAGCACGTTCGCAGCCGAGGCTCGCCGTGGCCAGAGATGTCCCTTCGGCGCCCCCTGTGGTGGCACGCTGGCTGTCATGATGGGGAGGAGGACGACGACGCGGTCAAGGGAAGGGTGAAGCCGTTAGCAGAGGGGGCGGCGCTCACGCGACCGTTCCGAAGCAGCGGGCGGCTGGGAGGGGGTGCCATGGATCGCGGCCTCGCCTACAGCAGCAAGATATGCGCTCAGCGGGAGCATGAGCGGAGGCGGGCCAGAGCTCATGCCGCTTTTCCTTCTTCGGATTTTTTATTCGCATCAGACGTATTGTTCATATTATGCGGTGGTGTTTCTCCTCCTTCTGCGTTCACGTGATTGGTGCATGGTGGGTTTCAAGACCGTTACGGCGTGTGTCTTGCGAAGCTCTGGCCCGGGGCATACATACGGTGTTGTGGTAAATTGTGAAATGTTCTGACCTCTCCGCCAGGGCTTCGCTAACGCACCAGCAGACGATGTTGGCGTGGTGACCCATGGTATTTTTTGGGGGTGGATTATGTTTCTGTTCCTGGAGGCTTGAATACGCATGCGCACTTTCTATGCACTTCTGCTGCGCAGGCTGTCTTTGTCGTGGGGTAGGGAGGGTCGCCTTAGTATCCTTCCGGCGGGCTTGCTTCTCACGCCCCGGGCCCCCGGGCGTGCTGGTAGTGATGTTCCATTCGCCGGCCGTTAAGAGCAGGGAGGCGATTTGCGACAGGCTGGCTGGCAACAGGCGGGTGGGGTGAATTTCGAGAGATGCGGCTGCAAATCACGGCGCTCTCTGGGTGCCTTCCACCCGTGTGTCCTCGCCAATCCTCATGCCCGTGGTCCGAGGGTACGACGGCCGATCCGCTCGCCGCCGCCGCCCCCTCATCGTGACCCAGCTGCCAGCCATCGTCTGCAGCCTCACTCTGGCCTTTGAGCGTTGATGCCTCTCTCTCTCTCTCTCTCTCTCTCTCTCCCCCCTGATCTTCCCCTCTGTCTGCTCTCGCCTGCTCGCTGCTGCTGATCTGCCATTCGTGATCTCTCCTGTGAGTCGTCAGGGCAGGCCGCCTCGGCCCCCCCGTGCGATCCTGCAGGGCGGAGATGCACAAGCACCGGCTCCGCAGCGTCAAGCCGAGCGTCGACACGTCGGAGCCGACGGGGGGGCGACGGAGCGGCGGCGGTGTCCCGCACACGGCCTTGTGCAGCGGGCCACTGTCTCCGAGCGTGGTCGGCCCGACCACTGCTTCACACCACCAGCATGCTGGGTAGGCATGACGGGGCGGGCCCTGGCGAGAGCCGGATACGCGTGCGGCCACCTGTCCTCGCAGCGCTCGGCCCTTGAAGAGCCAGGCACGCTTGCTCTACGCCCACCACCCACCAAACCACCCCAACCCAACCCGAAGGCTCAAACTTACCCTCGATTTCCAGTGTGGGGGGGGTCGAGAAACATCGAAAAAACACATGTGGAACCCTTACCCCCCCCCAACCCGAAATTCGGGTCTTCGGGTTGGGTTGGGGTGGTCCCGTAGGTAGTCATACGCGTGCGTATCCAGCGCATGACCTCCAGCTGTTCCATATGTCCTCCGTGGACTGTTGCCTCCTCACGTACGGATGGCCAGTCAACGCTCGTCTTGTAATTGGCTGCGGGGGCGCGAACGGGCCTGCTGTATAAAATCAGAGAACCCATGTCTGGAAGGTTCGAGGCCAATGTTTCTACGAAGTTCAAGTTCAATGTTGCCATACTTTTGGAATTCTGGGATGGTTTGGATAAAGTTTGGCGGCGAAGAAGTTCCGAATCTCCGAAGCGCGTGTGAAGTTTTCGTGAACTCTCGGATTGGTTTCGAACTTTCTCCGAACTCTTTTCGAACCCTTGTCGGACTTAACAAACTTTGTGCTGGTTCGAACTTGTTTTATGGTTTCCAAACCGTTTTGGGACGTCCGTTTTTGTCTTATTCTGATCCTTTGAGCTGTTGCTCGATATCTTGCTTTATTTGGTCTACGAAGTCGAACTTCTAAATTTCCCTCCGCCCGCGACCAAAAATACAAGTTTCGTCCCACATGTGATGATCGATGGTGCTTTTGGTTCGACGCTTGTGATAGCAATGCATGTGCTGTATATGCTGATGTGTTGCTAAAAAGCACATGCTGATCGGTTGTGATAGGATGCGCGTCCTGCATTCGGTATACGTCACACGGCCCTATTGCAATCATTCTCCCCCCTTTCGTACCCAACCGGTCCGTCCACTTCTTTCTTGGAAAACCTGCGAAACTCTCCATCACCCATGGGAAACATCCCGAAACCTCCAGAGACTGTTCAAAGCCTCCGGGAATTCATTGGGGCCCCCGCAAACCTCCTTCCCTCTATCCCTCCCTCCCTCTTCCCTCCTCCTCCTCCTCCTCCTTTTCCTCCTCCTCCTCCTCCTCCTCCAAGTCGGCGTTGGAGCTCATACACTTTGGGCCCCGACGGAGGGAGGATTTTCACTGACACTTCTCAGTCACACGACTTACGGACCCTGACAGCCACACAGGTTGCCCTGCCAGGGCCAGGGGAGGAGGAGAAAAACAAACATAACAATCTCTGCGGCCCTTTCGATACCGTACCTCTTTGCGACCTTTTCCAGAGTGGCTGGGTCGTGAACCAGTGATGGATTTTCTTGTGCCGCATCCTTCCTTTTTTTTTGGAAGATTGGAGTGTGACCTGGAAAAGAAAGACGAGCCAAAGACGCAGAGAACGGACCCGCCGCACCCACGCTCGGAAATGCCAGCTTGCCAGGATTACAATGTGTGAACCGATGGTTGCTCAAGTCCAGGGAACGGACATCGAGGCGAAGTGCAGCTAGGTACACGAAAGGAGAGGGCATACGGCAGCGGGGGGGGTAGGCTTGCGCAGCTTCCCCCTCCCCTCTGCGTCCTGTGGGGCCCAGGGGGAAGAGCTGCCAAGGGGAGTTTGCAAAGCTGCCTCGGCTCCCCTCAGCGCCTGCGCCCACACGGGCCCAGGAGCAGCCCGCCTCAACTACCAGCGGATCCTCCCGTTTAAAGCGCTGTCGATGGACATCGAATATCAGTTCCGCAGATGGAATATGATTGGCCCTGCTTCGCATTCGCTTGTTCGCCGGCGAGCAAAACTGGACAGCCGTGACCACCTGCTCCCCTGAAGGGGGCCGTTGCATTCGAGTCGCCTCGGGAGGCGCCGAGTCGAAACACTGCAGCGCCAGACGCGCAGAGAGTGCCTCGTGGCCGCGGCGCAGACGAAAGCAGGCGACACAGAGGGAAAATGGAGGCCCCGAGGCGCGGAGGCCATTGGCTTCGGCCGATGATGACCTTCGAAAGCCCACTTAGAACCTGGTGGGCCTGCCACTCGATCCTGGAGAAGGCAGGCTGTTCGACGAAGTGGAGGACAAACCAATCTCTGGGGCAGAGGACCTCTTTCAGAGACAACGAATGGACTCGCGCGGAGAGATTGACGAGGAGGAGGAGGTTCACCTCAATGAGAAGCGCGAAGAGCACGCTTGGGAAAGCCTCTATCGCACTATGTGGAAACATGTTTGCCATTTTCTGTGGATGAAATACGGCACACATTGGCTTCCAGCGGCACAGCTCGCAATTTGTCAGAAGTGGAATTCGTACAGTCGGAATGGGAAAGCAGTGGAGTGCGTGCCAGCATGGGAGACAAGTGGCCAACTGCTACCCCGTGAAGGTTACGCTTTTTCAGAATGGGAAAGCACGGGGGATCAAATGAGCGCGTTTGGCGCGGAGGGGAATACTGAATCAGCTTCGAAGGGAGAGCCGCACGCCCTAGCGAGGGAATCTCGGAGTGCAGTCCTCCTCGCCCAGCGCTCCCCCTCTCATGTCTTTTAGTCTCTCGTCCTCGGTCCTCTTCTCCACAGGTTACAGAGAGGAATCTGGCTCGCGAATTAAATAGGGGTTCAGGGAACCCTCCTTCTTGTGCAAGCCCGCTCGCACGTGCCATTGGCAGCGCAGTGCCAGCGGTGCCGCACCCCTTGACTTCATCGGAGAGCTACTGACTGGTAATACAGGGCTCCCTGCGAGAAGGGCCGCACGCCAGCCTGCGGTGGAGACGGGGTGGGGGGGGAGGGTAGGCAGCGTGATCTGCCCCTGCGCAAGCCCTGCCAGCGGCTTCGATACGATGTCGAAGGGCTGCCAGGTTCCTGCTACACACTACTCACGCAGGGGAACCCTGTCTCGTTTCGCAGCTGAGACTGGACGACCATCCCCTCATGCGGATCGCCTCGCCGCCGTGTCGCCTCCTCTCCCTCCTCCTCCATTTCCTTGCCAAGGTGCGACGGGGAGAAGGAGCGGCTTAGATTTTCCACCCTAGCTTTTTCGTTTGGTGTCCGTGGCTCTCTGTTGCCTTGTTTCTTTACAGGCGTGAAACACTTGAGTCTCAGATGCTTGCTTCGCCTGCCGCTTCTAGCAACAAACTCGTCCTGCCTTCCTCGTCCCCCCTCCCTCGTCCTCCCTCGTCCCCGTCCTCCGCTTCCGCCCTCTCCTCCGTTTCTCCTTTTTCCTCCTCATTCTCGTCCTTGTCTCCTCCTCCTCCTCCTCCTCCTTCCCGTCTTCCTCCTCCTTCTCCTCCTCCTCCTCCTCCTTCTCCTCCCCTCCTCCTCCTCCTCCTCCTCCGCCTCCTCCTCCCTCCTCCTCCTTCTCCTCCCCCTCCTCCTGTTTTTCCTCCTCCTCTTCCTCCTCCTCCCCCCCTCCTCCTCCCCCCTCCTCTTCCTCCTCCTCCTCGTTCTCCTCCTCCTCCCCCTTCTTCTCCTCGCCTCCGCCTCCTCCTCCTCCTCCTCCTCCTCCTCCTCTTCCTCCTCCTCCTCCTCCTCCTCCTCGTTCTCCTCTCCTCCTCCTCCTCTCCTCCTTCTCCTCCTCCCCCCCCTCCTCCTCCTCCTCCTCCTCCTCCTCCTCCTCCTCTTCCTCCTCCTTCCTTATGTATCCCCCCCCCCTTCCCTCCCTCCCTGGGCGCAACCGGGCGCAGGGGCGGCAGGCGCGCTCGAAGGCGTGGACGCGGCGAGCGCGGCGGCGGCATAATAAACCGCGCGAGCGCAGCCTCGCGCCCCGCCCCCGCGCCTGCCTGCTTGCGGCGGCGCCGCCCTGCGCGCGCTTCGGGGCACGCAGGTCTCACCTCGACTCCTCTCAGTCGATGCGGTTCGATTCTGATGGCTTCCGATCCCGATTCGATTCGGCTCGGGATGCCGATCTGGATTCCGATGTCGCACAGGAGGCCACACTCGCCTGCCGACTTCCGCCGAGTCGAATTGATTGTCGACCTGGCTACCGATTTCCACCGGTCCGACGCACGTCGATCGCCGATCTGACTCATCGGTTCGATTCTGGGCTCGCCTGGGCACGCGCCAGCGGGGGGTCAGCGCCAACTCGGGAGGAAAAGGTTCCGATACGGCTACCGTCACGTCGCTTTCCCTTAGCGTCGGCTCTCTGGTGGGTTCTGACGGCGGTATGCACAGGGACCACGGGGGAGCCCCACAGGGGGGAGCCCCAGGCCGCCCGGTCTGGCAGCCGGAGTGACCTTGGGTGCGGGCCCATTGGTCACCGCCCACCGAACCGCCCCAACCCAGCCGGAAGGCTACCATTTGCCCTTCGGTCCCAGTGTGGGGGGGTGCGTCAGGGAACATGGGGAAGATACGTGTGGAACCCGTACCCCTCCCAGCCCGAAAGTGGGGCCTTCGGGTTGGGTTGAGTGGGTCGTCAAATGGGCCCCCGCGATCGCGGAATGCGATGCTACAGCAGCGGCCTGCGCGCTTGGGTTTGGCCCCATCGCGCCCCCGAGAAGCCGCGCGCCAAGGGTTCCTCTTGCCAAAGGCCACCCTCTGCGCGTAGCCGAGTCGTGCTCTCGCCACAAAGCCCGGCTGCATCTGTGGTCCGGGCAGCCGCGGCCCCTGGTAAGCGGCACACTGAGGTGCACAGGGCCGTGCTCTCGCCATTGCCACCCTATGGCCGACCTCCTGCTCCTCGACTCGCCTCCGCACCTCTGCCTGCTGATTCCTGGGCTGCGTTGCTGGGGTAATCGCCTCTCTGGGGCTTCTGGGGGGCCTCGTCGCCACCGCTGGATTCGCGTCGAGATTCTGGTGAGAAGGCGCCCTGGGAGAGGCCCGGAGAGCAGCGGAGTGGTATCGGTATCTAGTGGGTTCCCCACCAGAAGGGGGTCAGCCAGTCCCCGTTGCAGGAAGGAGGGGGAGGGACGAGGAGGGAGGAGGAAGTAAAGGAGAAGGGAGGGATGAGGAGGAGGGCCGAGACCGAGGAAGATCGAGGGGGACAGGGCTCCCCATCTGGGGCACGCGTAATCAGGGGTCAGCGCAAACGATCGAAGAAGAAGCACTGCCATAAGCATACAGTTACATGAACTGTCGGACTTCCGCGTGGATTTCTTGGATCGGCGCTGAAGCCCCCGTCCCTAGCGCTTGGAACGCGTGAGGGGCGGCGCCAGAGGCGCCGCCAGGGCGGTGTAGCGCCGATCCAAGAAATCCGCGCGGAACACCGAACGTTCATTTTTATGGTGTTCTTTGTGCCTGTCATTGGGGGTCTTTCAATCCCTCTGGCTGTTTTCACCGTTTTCGGACTCCCGGGGGGGGGCATGTCTCGGATCCGACTGGATTCTGGCTCCCTGCTGACGTGGCCCGATTCGACGCGCGTTCCGATCCGATCCGACCCGACTTCCCGATTCGGTGCTGACCGTTCCTGCCCTGCCCCCTCATCCCCGGGCCGCCCGAATGGGGCCAGAGCATTATGGGGTCGGAGCATTGCGCCGCTTCGCCGATGCATCGGCGACACCGCACCATCCAGAGCGCGACCCCTTCCACCCTGACGCCGCCGACACACCGCCATTGCATCGGTGATGCGGCGCGGTGCTCCAACCCCATCTGCTCAGGCTCCATTTTGTCGGCCGCCATTCTCGTCATCGAGCGGAGTAGCTCAGCATCGCCCGATCACTATCCTTACTCGGCCATGTTTTCTCAGCCTCACCAGTCCGCCCCCAGCTGGGGATAGTTCCCGCGACGTCCGAGCGGAACATCACATCCCCACTTGTGGGGGTAGCCAGTGTGGCCAAGGCCGTGCCAGCAGGGATACAGTCAACGCGCACAGTAAGGACGCTCGCCTTTCCTAGGGTACCCTTGTGTCCTTGCCTCTTTGCCACCGGATGCCTGTCCAAGGCGTTCCTGTGCAAGCACAGGCTTTGCCTCCTCCTGATTCCGAGGCTTTGCCTCCTCCTGGCCTTGACGTGAGGCCTCTCCGTCTCTCCCCCCCTCTTTGTTAATTCAAGCTTCGCGCGGCCCGCTTAGCTTCGACCGGAAGAGGTGCGCTCTCGACCCGCGAATCAAAAATTGTGTCCTTGTCTCTGCCGCCCGTACTTTGCTGTTTCCACTGGCCAGCCTCTCGGGTACCCTTGGGGGTTGGTCGCCCGCCGCTCAAGAAGTCCCAGCTCCTGCTTCCGAGGGTCTTGCGGCCTTACCACCCGTCCTTGCTATACGTTTTCACTTCTGGCTAGAGTTATGTCGGGCGTGTCCCCCTACAGGGGGATTTTCGACGCAAAAAACAAAATATCCCAAAAATGCACCAAACAGATAACGAAAAAAAGAAATGTAAAAATAGTCCCCAGATTATTGTTGGAGTATTTTTGGAATATTTGTTTGGGGTATGTTTCATTTTTCGTCGAAAATCCCCCTGTAGGGGGACAGGCTCGACTTAAGGCTAGAGCATTGCGTCAAGCAGACGCGTGGGCAAGATGGCACGCTGGCAGCCCGAAGCGAACAATCAGCCAATAAACGCAACGAGACTGCAGACCTGGGCAGGTCACAGGAGGAAGAAGGAGGGCGAAGGGAGGGGAGGGAACGGAAAAACGGGGCCGAAGGAGGGGGGGCTAGGTCTGCTGGCGCACCAGACAATACACACTCTTGTGCCCCCTCTGTGTCCACACACTCGTTCTCACTGTGGGGATCCCAAGTCAGGGCCCCAGAGCCCATGACGTTCAAAGACAGGGCTCTGCCTGATCCAGCGCTCGCCCCCCACGGCCGCACCCTCCTCGAGCGGGCCAGAAAAGCCTTGGTTTACCAGACGCCACCGCTTAAGGGGGCACGATCCATCCTCACCTTCGAGGGGATACGTCGCAGGCGATTTGTCTCCCCCCGACCCCGGGCCCCGACCCCGGGCTTTTTTCGACGAGCAATGACACCGCTCAGAAAAGGAGAGGCACCCTGGGATACACTACGAGGGGGCTATTCGGACGCACCCCTATCAAGGGTGGACGCCACCCAATCGTATATCCCAGGGTTGGACTCCAAATTTGTGGTCCATTCGACAACACCCCAAAGCCTGGGCTAGGGGTCGACATCTCTCCTGTTCAGTTCGCCGTTGGGGCCAGAGCCACACTGGTGGGGCCAGGGATCGGTCAGACGATGCCCAGCGGCGGGGAGAAGCCCCGGTCCTCCCAGCCGCGTGAACTGGTTTGCCCCCCGTGACCTCCCAGCTAAATCTCCCCCTGGCGACAGTCGACTTTGACTAGCACGTCGACCCTTCAGGGGTGCCCCGGCGTCCTGCGCTTGGCGCCCCATGCCCTTTGCATTCCTGGGGCCACGTGGCTCTCGGGAGGGTCTTGTGTCCTCTCGGCCGTCCTCTCCGATCCCCCTCGGCTGCAGTCGCCCGACCCGTCCTTCGAGCGGAGTGCACGTCCTGACTCGCCGCCGCCGGCCGCGGCCGCCGCCGCGCCGGCCGCCTGCCGTCGTCGTCGTCGTCGTCGTCGTCGTCGTCGTCGTCGTCGTTGTCGTCGTCGTCAACGTTGTCGTCGGCGTCGCCGTCGTCGTCGTCGTCGGCTTCGGCGTCGGCGTCGGCGTCGGCGTCGGCGTCGGCGTCCTCGAGCGGGGCGTCGCCTCGCTCGCCCGCGGCCCGCTCCGGCCCCGACCCCGGCGGGGAGCGGGAGGAGCCCCGCACCTTCCAGCTGGCCCACATCCACGGCCGCTGCCCCCCTCCCCTTCCCACGCTGCGCCCGCGCGCGCGCGCGCCTCCTAAGACCTCCTTCGCGGGGAGGGGGGATGTCACTAGAGAAGAGGACGGGGGAAGGCGGCTTGGGAGGGGAGGGAGGGGGGCAAGGAGGGAGGAGGGGAGGAGGAGGATGAGGAGGAGGAGGAGGAGCAGGAGGAGGAGGAGGAGCAGGAGGAGGAGGAGGAGGAGGGCAGGAGGGAGAGGAGAGTAGGAGAGGAGAGGAGGGACGAGGGATGACTGGGAGGAGGGAGGGAGAGGGGAGGATGGAAAGCAGGAGGAGGGAGAATGGAGGAAGGAGGCAGGAGTACGGGAGGCGGAGGGGGGGAACCAGGCGCGCTCGCGCCCTATCTGACGTCGTGCACCTCCCCCCATCCACTTCCACTGCGTTGAGCCCCTTTCTATCCGCAGAGTCGAGCGTCGGGAGAATCATCGATTTCCACAGCCTTGCTTGACACCCGACTTCACGCACAGCAAATGACGGCACGCAAGAGGCACCCTTGGGGAGGCACAGGGCCCGGGCGGAAGCAGGGAGGCAGCCAGCGCCGGACAGACAGACGTTCGAAGGCAGTGTGGCGTACACGTTGCAGGGGGAGGGGGGGCACCAGTTTTGCGGATGCAGGGCTCCTTACGGTCAGCGCTGCGGCGGGAGCATCGCTTCATTGGAGATCCTGTGTGTTCGCCCCCACCCTGATGATGATGATGGTGCTGCTGATGATGATGACGATGATGACGATGATGACGATGATGAGAATGATGGTGATCATGATCATGGTGATGATTATGATTATGATGATGATGATGATGATGATGATGATGATGAAAACGATTATGATGATGATGATGATCATGATCATGATCATGATCATGATGATGATGATGATGATGATGATGATGATGATGATGATGATGATGATACTGCGGATGCTCATGCTGATGACGATGATGATGATGAGTATGATGATGATGATGACGATGATGGTGCTGCTGCTGCTGCTGCTGCTGATGATGATGATGATGATGATGATGATGATGATGATGATGACGATCATCATCATCATCATCATCATCATCATCATCATCATCATCATCATCATCATCATCATCATCATCACCACCCCCTCCCCCCTTCGCGCCATCTCTCTTCTCGTGTTCCTCCCTCTCCCCCGCTACTCCTCCGCTGCCTCCCCCCGCGGAGCCCGAAGCCTGCGCCCCGGGCCAGGCCAGGGAGGCGAGGCCTACGGGGAGGGGAGAGCCCGGTGGCCTCGACGACCCCCGACCTCGTCCCTGATGGGCCTGTTGTCCACCACCACCACCAGAAGTTGGAGGGGGGAACAAGATGGAGGAAGACGAGAAGGAGGAGGAGGAGGAGGGGGAGGATGAGGAGGAGGAGGAGGAGGAGGAGGAGGAGGAGGAGGAGGAGGAGGAGGAGGAGGACCCCCTCCCCCTCCTGCTTGTGGTGGTGGCGGTGGAAAAAAACCCACCATTCCCCGCGCTGCCCCCTCCCTGTTCGACCGCATGCCGAGTGAGGTCGAGCCTTTCTCGGTCGTCGGCGCCCCGCGGAGCCCAGGCAACCTGAAGAAGGAGCAGATGCTCGAGGAGCGGTACACGGAGATCGACCGCGAGGCTCGCCGACGGCGCGAGAGAGGGGGGGAGCGGGAGGAGAATCCGCTCCCGCCCGCACCCCCCCCGCCTCCCCGCCTCCCCCTCCTCCTCCTCCTCCTCATCCTCCTCATCCTCCTCCTTCTCCTCCTCTTTCTTCCCCCTCCTCCTCCTTGGCTCTTCCTCCTCCTCCTCCTCCCACTCCTCC